ATTATTTGTTGCTACTGTTTTAGAAATAAAACGATTATGATTCAATGAAATGCTAGAAAATATATTGTGAAATGACGTCAGTTAAGTTTCTTTTTTTTAAGAAATGTTGTCTATGATTTATCGTAAGCTAACTAAAAGCTGTTTTGTTTCGTATTAGAATTTAATCATTATGTATCATTTAATGTACCTTAACATTAATTTACATATTTTTGTAAATGTTTTGTGCGATTAGAAATCACTGAAACAAAATAAACAATTTTAATTACATAATAATATGTTTTAACATAATTTATCATTAATACTATTAAGCGATTTGAATTTTGTTTTGATAAAATGACGGTAAAGTGGAATGGGTGGGATTCCGATTCCGACAATGGGAGACGGATAGCTACTCCCAACTGGAGTCAATCCAGCTCTTATCACGGCTCCTTTTTTTCCTTCCTCTGGTGTACTTGCTGCAGTTAAGTAGACAATTTATTTAATTTTTGTGATTTTTTTTTTTTTTTTTTTTAATATATATTATAAGGTAGCATAATTTCTATTATACAATTGTATAATCAAGTTGTTCAGTTTGTGATTAAAACTTGTTGTCGATATACCTATTTAATTGCCCAATTTTTGTGGAAATGAAGTAGAATACTTTTTATTTTAGTACCTACCCTTTTTTGGTTTCACCCAACCTATAATTTTATTAAATATATTAGTTTAGTAAAATATAAAATGTTAGAAATATATACATACTTGTTTTCTAGCAAGTCATAGCTTTTTATGTCCTCTTTCTTAATTAAATCTCTCATCAGAAGTATAGAAGGGATAATAAAATACTGAACTAATGATATATTTATTTTCAGACAACCATGGATACTACATACTGTCATCGAAAACTTGTTGTCCGCCATTCGCAATACTGTTACTGCCAGTCAACGCCAGGATGACGGTACCATCGCTCTTCCGTTGTTCGACCCGGGCACTAGCGATAAAGCAGCCGCCGCAGCCTGGAGCATAGAGATCGAGGGGACCAGCATGGAGTTCGGTTGGAGCAGCATCGCCACGGTAGCAAAGGTAGGTAAAGCCCTTGAGGGCTCTGCATTACTTGGCTTGAATCGTGTGAACCTCAAAACGGTAGAACCTGGGAGAATCTTAAATCGGAAATTATCGCCAAAAGAAAAATCTTTCCGAGAAGTTATACAAAGCTGTGGCATACTGTTGATTCATACGCTAGGGTAAAAATAAGATTGCTTAGAAATACTCGTACTAACGTATTGTTCACGGAAGAGCAAAATAATTGCGTTAGTATGTGGTAATATTCGCGATGTAAATGTTCGGATGGCATAATATTTCAATAGCTGTGTTCGAACTACTTCCGATTTAATAACGTTATTTAGTACTTATACTAAACCGAAAAAGCGTCAAATAGAAACTATTTCGCGACCTAGCATCTCTAAACGTTCGAAAGTAGGTAATGAGAGTTTGTCTCGGAAACTAACTATGCTTTTTGTGTGGGCAGTCAGGTCTACCTATCCGCGAACAACCTAAACCTATTAAAACGTGCGTTATTTGTAAAAATATAGGGCATGACGAATCTACAGGCTTTTTTAAGAACATGAAAAAAGAAAATACTGTTGATTAAAAAACAAAACACGTAGATATCCGGTTTAGTAACGTGACTACTAAATCCGATTTGAAATCGACTAAAGTTTATTTGAATAATATTTGCATATAATCTCTCATTGATACTGTAGCAAACTGTAGTGTAAATAAGGAGACAATTGTAAAACGCCTTCGTTGTCATCTAAAGCCATTTTCCTTTTATGTCACTGGTATAGGTAATGCTTAGTATACACGTTTTTGCGATGATCACAATTCCGGTACGATTTGAAGATTTGTGTATAGAAATAGATGTTTGCACATATGTATTGCAACATAATGATATTAATATAGTCTGATAACCAGAGGTCGGAATTAGGTAGAGTTATTTATGTACTTGCATCGAAATGTTGATATTAATGTGGACCTTCCCGGGATTTCTATTGGACAATCTTGGACATTTTTGGACATCTGATGTCATTGATGTAAGTTTGGCAACGTCGTGCGTGCAGTAGTTTAAATTGTGTAAAAGTAAATAACTTTTTATTTAAAAAATCAAGGGATTTTTTTCTGCTCTTTAAAATTAATCTCGGGATTTGAGGCATATCCACTTTATTCTTTCGCTGTATGAAATCAGTGTAAGTACATGAATAACTCTACCTAATTCCGACCACTGCTGATAACACGGGGTGTAGACTATTGAAAAAAAAAATATGTCCTTATCAATTAATGAAATGAATTCAAGTCGATTAAGAGTTTGAGAGATGGAAATTTTAACGACAGAGCAATTAAACGATGCTTTAAGATTTAAAATAAAAAATGAAAAAAATGTAATTTCCCTTATGTTTTGTTTCCCTCGTCTGAAAATAATGGTACAGTTTCGTTCTTACCAGTCCCACCCGCCACAGAGTTTTCCCCCTAACGCGACATCAGGAACTGCCTTGCTCCATCAGCATGGCAGGGTCTGTCACTCTGATGGTAAAGTCAGGCCCCTACCTACGCCCCTCGCCGGTGACCCAGAGACGGTAGACACCATGACCATTACCACGTTGGCTGGACCACGTGACCGCCGTCTAGCCGGCATTGAAATCCAGGGCCAAACCCTATAGATACCCTACAACTAGTCTATATAAACTTTGTGGTCTCTTGACAGTCTGTCAATTATATGCAACAAATACAATATTATATATACACAAACATTACCTTACAAAGTAGTCAAAACAAGTAAAAGACGAAAAGAGGTAGCTATAAAACCACGTCAGATGCGAACAGCATTTGCTGAGCGTCAGTACATTTGTCAATCAACTCGAATTTGCAACAGATTTAATACAAAATTAAATATTTTTCCAAATGAATTCTTCTACTTGTGAAGATTCCATAGCGAAATGGTTAAAGACTCTTAACATGATGAAATTGAAACACTTTTAAGTAAATATGTAGGCGGGTAGTCTCAGGGGGCTATTACGAAACCCAAATAGATCGTCCATATTGGAGGCCTATCTTTAATATAACACTGCAGGCGTGTATACCAACGTGGATTTGTTCCATTTTATTACTTTTCATACGAAAATATAACGAGATGAGCGTGATGTCATCGGATGTCTTTACCTGTGGTCTTTACTCCTCGGCGTTCAGTAACAGAATCTCTACCAAAAATGGCGGCAACTTGCTTTTGTTAATTCACTTTCGTTTAGGAATCAATAATAATTCACTTTCGTTTAGGAATCAATATCGAATAATCGCGGTACAATCGATGCGCCGACAAATATAATTGCTTATTTATTTCTATTTAAACCCAAACAAATACACGTAACAACACACAAACATTAATTATGATACAAATGTTCATGTGCACACAAAATTCACATACATTCATACACACATACTCTCATACATACACGTGCATACATACAAGAAAAGAGCTGGGAAAGATCGAAAGAGAAAGAAAGAAAGAACTTTAATATTTTTAAATTAATGCATGACAGGATAAGCAAGGCACCCCAACACGAGTGACTTCAATTTACTTATTGGGGTGGTTTCAAAGCATTCTAATATAATTATTATTGAATAAATACATTATTATTTAAAAAAAAACCATCTCCATCATTATTTCTCGATTTGGCAACACCCACAACAGCATCACCGTCACCAACTTTCACACAGTCACACCGTTGTCAGGGACGACCTGCAGCTGCACCTATCGTATAGCCTGCACCAACTGTGCCAGCCCTACAATCTACATCAGCTGAACCAGTGCTACCTCTGCGCCGCAGCCAACGTACAGTACGACCCTCTCGAAGAAGACACTAATTATAATTATCTAGATGTGAGGGGGACGAATGTTATAATAACTCTTTTGTATTGACATCTTGTTCTTCTTCTTCTTTTATTAATGGCTTATCTGCGCATTTCGACAATTCTGCCATTGTCAAGTGAATAAATAAATTTCTACATGTAAAATGAAAATGAAATGAATGAAAGATGGCGAATCAAATCGGGTGTTAGACTTTTGTTTCGTCTTGTTATTTGCGTAATCTTGTTTGTTTCCTTTTTATGTAAATGTGACATCTGACATCTTTCAGTTAAAGAAAACTCTTATATTGTGAATATGATATTTTATTTCCATAAAATAATATAGATACTTTATTAATTAGAGTTGTAATGACTGTATCCTTTTGAAATAAGTATTTTCACTACTACTTTATATACGTTATAGTGTAAGATAGAAAAGTAGAGTTATTGAGACCAATCTTAAAAATTCTATTTTATTTTTTGGAGGTTCATTGGTTCACAAAAAAATATTTTATTTCTTACAGTGAATAAAAATAATATATCAGATATGGCAAGTATTATGTGAAAGTATCCACTTCTAGGCCCACGATTAGGCATTATCTGACGTATGCTTTACATATTTCAAGTGTAATACCTCTAACTCAGAATGCTACAGTTTAAATAATACGACATAACCTCAAAAACATATTACATAATTACTTGATACTCCCAGCTTTTAAAGATATATTTAAGGTTTTTCTTTGTCTAGTTGAAAAGGCAAACAAAATAACATGTTTCATCAAGTTACGTTTTATTCGATTTTATTAGTCCAAACATGTTAGGCAGATGGTCATTGTTCTTTTTGTATAACAGACAATGGTGTTGAGGGAGACCTCCTTCTTGGTTTAAGATCTTTTTTATTTTAATTTAAATATTGACAATCTGTTCTGCACATGCGCATCTATTGTTTATATATATTAATGTCTTTCTTCGTAAAGCTGTTGTCGGTGCTGTTTATGTTTTTATAAAGTACATATATATAATTTTGGTGGTAAATAAACTCATGATTTCTTTTCTCTATACCCGTTTTACCATCGGGTATCAAATGGCTGTATGGTTAGCTCTCTTTGCCTTTCCTTTACGGAAAAATCTCCTAAAAAACAATATAATCTGTGCTGTCAATAGTTGTCAAGGAGACTAACAATACGTTTTACTTGCTGGTTTTTGTGAGGTCTAGAGAAAGTGGATAAATTCTTTCGCTAGACATTTTTTTTAATTGTATTGTAGGATATTTATACAAACAAAAATTAGTGGATACTAAAATATGATAGAAAAAATATTACCTACAAGATTGTACGAGTTATTAGATAGAAATAATATTTGTACCTCAAAACAAATAATGTTACTTTCCCCGTGGGAAATAAAAAAGTTAACTAACATATCAGAAGACGATACAAAACTAATAAAAAACCTCGTAAGCCAAAATTTACAACCACAGCTTCTTACATGTGGTAAATTAATAACTTTTAAAACTCTTAAAGACAGAGTATCTACAGGCTGCAATAGAATAGATAGTATTCTAAATGGCGGTTTTCGAAAAGGCACTATAACTGAAATCTATGGTGAAAGTGGATCAGGGAAAACGCAAATAGCACTTCAATCAATAGTTCACAATTGGGCTAAAGGAGGTGTATACATATGTACAGAAGATATATTTCCAGTGAAAAGATATGAACAAATAAAAAAAAATATTCCTAGCTATAACTCTTCTGTTGATTATGGACAAAACATTTTTATTGAGCATATTGTTGAAATGGATGAATTGTTCTCAAGTGTCAGGGTACGCTTACCCAAACTTCTCTCGCAAAAGAAAATAACTTTAGTTGTGATTGATTCTGTAGCTGCTCCTTTTAGAGTTGATAGTACAAATTATATTCAAAGAGCAGATCAACTAAAACAATTTGCAAACACATTAATTAACATTGCTCAAAAAAATAATATTGCAATTCTCTGTATAAATCAAGTCACATCTAATTTTGGTGAGTCATCAGAAGTAATACCATCACTAGGTTTGGCTTGGTCAAACATGATTTGTACCAGATTATGGATGAAAAAAACGAGTTCAACTTACTGTTTTTCAGAAAACAAGGGCAATAATGAAGTACGAAATGTAAATATAAGAGAACTCTCTGTGGAATTTTCACCTGATGTGACAAATTCTGTTGTTAAATTAATCATTACATCAAGTGGTATCCATGCTGTGCAATAAAAAATTGCTTTGTAAAACAATAAGATAATAGAATTTATTTGTAATGGTAAAATAAACTTTTAGATAGATACATATTCTTTGACTTAGGGACTAAAGTCTGACATAGGTTACCTATGTGACAAGTATATAATCAAAGCCTATGTCAGAGTTTAGCAGGGCTTAGTTTACCCATTTTTTTTATTAATGTAAAGATGACTAATTCTGAATAATTCTTATTTTTACCATCTAACTTGAATGAAGTTTCTTATTCAATTCATTTTGTGATTTTTATTAAATTACACAGGAGCGACACTCCATATGGGTCATAACTTTGCAAAGATAGTAGCAACATCTTTACTTTTTTACTGTCTGTCTGTCAGGTAGATTATTGAATAATATTAAAATCCCATCAAAAACATAACATGTCAGTACAAAAATGCACAAGTCTCACCACGCGATTCTTCAGCCATAAAAAGTTATGAAATTAACATTAACAAAGTTGGTTAATTCAGATAACCTATCTTTTTGTGAGAGCGTGTATTCAACCTTATAGATTAAGGAATTCTTAATAAAGTTTTTCTACATGTTATGTCTTTGATGGGATCTCATTTCTGTCTGTAGGTAGTTCTCCTTTTTTTCTTAGGTAGTAAATCTCGAAAGACCACTCATACCCGTTTTCACTAACCTACATAGACCAAATAGCTTAAGCAGATATGTCATTTCACCAAACCTGTAACATTAGGTAATGCCTTAGGGACTGGTGCGCATCGCAATTTTATTTGTGCGGATTTTATTTCGCAATGAACTTTGACCGCATTGCAATTAGAATTTTGTCATTTTTATGTGTAGCCAAGTTTTATAATTAGGGGATGTGTAGCTCCCAGTAGGCTTGCTGAAAAAGAATCAAAATATCGATGTATGACAGTGTTACCAACTCCCAACAAAATAAAACCCTAAAACCTAACTCAAATAACCCTAAATAGCCCTGAATGGTGTAATCAGAAGCCCCAATAAAAGCCCTGTCCTACTTGTATTACCCACGGATTTAATTGTATTGTTTAAAAAAAAAAACTGTTTTATTAAGGTGATTAAAATAGACCTCAGTTTTATTTTCTAATATTTTTTTTTGGTATTAATTACTTGAATAGCATTCAAATAATTTTGTTAATCTAAAAAAGGTCGATTTGTTTTTTTTTTATATGAATAAAAACGCACTCTAATACACGAAACTCTCCTGTCTTTTCTACTAGTTCACTAAGAAGAGATGGGCCAAGCACATTTTGTATAATCATGGAACATTTTGTGCGAAATAGACTTAAATAATTTAAAGCATCCGATGACGAATCTATTTGATGAACGAAGCCAGAAAGCATACTATGTTTTATGACTAAAACCAATCCAAAAAAGTGATAAACCATGACACGAAAATAAAACTACAGAAAATGCAAATAGATTAAAAAATGTCATATTGAAGCCATAGCAATATACTACATAGGTATCCTACAGACATACACACACGTTCATCTAAACATTTGCTTCTATATAATGAACAATTGGCACCTGTTTTGTCAAATAATTTAACGTTTCATCCATTGTCAAATTCGAAGAGAAAATAAAATTCTTTTGTATGTCGTAAACAATCTATTTTAAACCAAATGAAAAGATTTCATGGGTAATTTAGACACTAACTGATTTTTATTATTAATTTATTTAATTTTTTTAGCACTAAAATTAGCCCTAAATTTTCTTGAGCCCTAAAAAAGCCCAATTAGTTTATTTCCGCCCTAAAGGGAATTGTTCAGTTTGTATAGGCACTTTGGCTTTTAGTGGACATTATCTACAGTTATAAAAAACATTATTTATTAATATTTCATATCTTAAGGAAGTTAACTGTTGTAATATTTTCACAGGAAAGTTTAAAATTGAATATATATAAGCATATGTAGTGTTCCATTAACGATGTAACGAAAAAGTTATTTTTTTTGTAAAATACTTTAATTACCTTATAATCATATTAATTTATTTATGTTAGAAATAAGAAACAGAGATGTCTTAATAAAGAAATTGTAGATTTACACATATTTACCTTTAATTTGACAATACAATTCTACAAGCAAAAGACAGTACTTCTAAATACACATATTTATAAGAATATACTTTACATAATCACTTAATAAATATATTACACTGCTCATACGGTTTCTCTTCAGCTGGAGGCTGGCATTTGGGCAGTCAAAAAAGCAGCTACATTTATATAAGTTGGTCACATGACATACTAATCTTTGAATCTTCCACGGCCTCTCCTGACATGTGCTCTCCCTCAAACAAGACTATTCTCCTGATTTGTGCTCACCCTCGAGCACAACTCTTCAGCTTGGAGTGGCTGTAGACTCACATTTACGTCTGCGCCTATTAACAGAAATGACTATTTTAAAACACCTATTCAGTACATTTGCACATAACTAATTAATAATAAATTAACATTAAATATTGAACAACTAGTTAATAGTAGCAGTAATAATAGTATATCATCCTGATGAAAGATGTAGCTTCCCAAAGCAAAAGAATTTTATAAATCAATTTAATTTTAATTGAAGGAACTCCTGTTTAGACAGACCTTCAAAAGTGCACAATGTCTTCAGTCATTCCTTCAATATTGTTAAAATCCATTGTAAGATTTCTTTTTTACAAATGATGCAAAATCTTGTATAAGTTCTGTAGTAAATGTATGAATAGTTTGCATGATAGACAACCATTCAGCCCAATTATTATAATATAAATGAGAATTACACAGTCTACTGATTTTTGGTACATAAAAGTTAAAATCAACAAACAATTTTACCTGAAGCCATCTGGGAACTGTTAGTTGCCGTGGTGAGTCTCAACCCGGAACAAAACATAATGCTTGTGAATCAGATGCTCTTTTAAAATCTGGTAAGGTAATGTTCTGTATAGGTTCTGGAATATTAGAAGGAACTCTCTCTATCTGCTCCCTGCCAACATGGGTGACAGATTCGATCAGATCCTTGCACCTAAAAGAGTATAATATATAATTAAATTATTTGTCAACAAAATATTACTTTAACAATATGGTAGCGATATATTAATGTTTTACATGTCATAAAAGAAGTTTAATTATAGTAAGCATAATAAATAAAAATAACTATAATCCTGCCTGTCGTGGGGATATCCAATCAATAATTTAATTTCTAATGTGTGTTTCTCTGTCGGATATTGTTTGCAGTAGATGTGATCTAGTACTTCCTTTTGGTAATATTATATTTCTCTATGTCTAGTACGTAATATAGATCTTTCACAATTTATATAAAGCTGCCGACGATATTCACGTAGGAGACCATTACTCGATTTAAATACATTAATTAAACCAAACAATTTTGAATTACCAATTCTATCTTTCTACATGGATTTACCAAAAACAACACGTTAAACGATATTAATTATTTAAGGAATTATATATTTTTTATCCGTCTTTTGATATCACTCATTTTTTAAAGTTCTTTTTAAATGCTATTTTAATAACAAATTCCTCAATGTTTTTAAAACAAAGTTCATTTGTGTTAATGATGAATCGCTGGAAGATTTGTGTGTTTATCGAGTTTAGTTAACGATCCCGTTGTTAAAGGAGTATTTAGTGCCGGTTTTAGCAGGCGAAATTTCTTCGGCGCCCCCTAACTGCAATTCAATTACTACTACATACTACAAATCAGTTATTTGTCTTTTTTCGCCGACCCGGCCTACTTACTTGTAATTTTCCCTAAAAGGTAGATTATTAAGTTGGCAGCATTAGAATGGAACGTAGTGTTCAGTCGGTTTAATTTCTCGGGAATCCCCGACTCACCGACCATACAGAAACAATGTGTTTTTCTATAATCGGGGATTCCCGAGATCTATCTCTTTTAATTTTTGACGAAGCAGAACACAATCAACAGTCATGAGTGGACGCTCTTAAAGCAATTATTCGATCATTTTAAAACAAACAAACACAGTAATCAACCGTTTAACGCTACGTTACGATGCTCTTGTTCCAACTATAGTGACATTAGTTTTATTTAAAAAATAGACATATAAATAGTATATAAGTAGCTGTTTCATTTTTGACGGATCACATCATTAGGTAAGTACAGATTAATTTTTGCGATCTGTACTACACATTCCCTAATACTTAAAGTATATAAGATGTTAAAATAACAGGTTAATTATTGAAATTGGGTCCAGACTATTTACCCTTGTAACACCCTAACAGGGTGTCACATAATTGTTGTGTAATTGTTGTAACTTAGTGACAGTGAGTTTGCAGTGGGCCACTACTTATTATATGATCAATTATTTTGCTATTTCGAATAAGTGGCTAAGTAGCAGGATCCGCTATATTCGGGACAACAGTATCAACATCATCTAGTACATGTATTTGTTGTACATCAATAACAGATTTATCCTGATCAGCATCTGTAATTGTGACGTTAGGTTTTTATTTAATAAAACGTAAGTTTTGAAAATAGTAGGAGGTTTTTATTATAGTAACACAGACTAACCTTTTAATGACAATCATGTAGTACTACTTGCTCCCTCACTTTGGGATTTTTCATCCACAATCTCTTGAGTAGCTATTCCATCTGACTTGCCAGACAGAGGCTCCACTGCCGATGCATTCGTTTGTATTGCAGCATTTTAGCTTCAGCTTAACGTTTAAATATGCTCAAACGAAAATTTTCTTAAATGATCGAGCAATAATGCCCGCCAATGTACGTCATCTTACCTAATAAAATACATATCTTCATATTGGTAATCGGTATGTTGTTCTGTTTTACCATAATATAATATTTTTCTTGTTAAGTTTCCTTTCAATTCATGCTGAAATGAGGCAACTTGAAAACAAAAAACATCCTCACGGTTCTTGTCTTTTTTCGCCGACCCAGTAGGCCTTGTTCAATGAGCGAGGGAACTATATATATAATCTTTGTCTGTGGGAATGTGGAAGTATTAGAAAAAAAACCTTAGTTCCCGAAATCAAACTTCCGTTTTTTAATATGTTACTTAGAAGGAACGGAAATGACTGTCTTTGTTCAATTCGTTTCCTGCAAAAATCAACTTTTGCTGGAGTCGCCATCTAGTGGAGGTACTTTTGTAGTGCTTTCATTTTTTTTTAATATTTCCTCATTATACAGAATCAGAAAAAAGCGCCGGACGAAAAAAGGGCGCCGCGATCTGCGGCGCCCCTTTTGGTCCGGCGCCCCTGGGCGGTCGCCCAACCGCGCCCTACCCTAACGCCGCTCCTGGGAGTATTACCCCATTCAAACAATTTTTATGGAGAACTGCTCTTTTAAAATAACGTAGATTAATGTTAGAGTGATCTCTCTACAATAATTTAGGAAATTTTACACTCGGTTTGTTAATTGAGTATGTAAAGTTAAACGTCTCAAACTAAGATCACTTAGTTTTCGTTTCCAATTTTAGTTTTTTGATGATCAGTTGATAGCAGTTTGATAAAACTAAGACTATTTGACTTG